TCACAGAAACATTTGCACGTGATCTTATTGCCAGCCATCATCTTGGTTCTCATTTTCCTTTTGCTGTGAGATTTCTTGAGTAAGTTTTCTATACCTAAAACTATAGTTATCCCTTCCACATCCTGGGGTTTAGGGGTGTGGCACCCCCAAATCTGGAAAATCTGCATGAAGTTTTTTGCACCTACTTTGTACCAGGGTAGATGTTGAGGGCTGATCTTAAGAGTCTGATATGGGTTTAAGATCCAGGACAGAGTTTGACCTTTGCCCAGGCTTTTACCCAAAGGGCTCAATAATTAAGAAGCATGGTTCTCCAAATCTCTCCCTGTTAGGAGGTTCCTGAGACATTCCTTCTCACTCTTTGAACCTTAGATTTACATATTCACTCCTCTGTACAGGTGCCAGGAAAAAGCCTTGGAATTTACAACTCTATCTAGGAACTCTGATAAGGAGGAAATGTATGTTATTACATACTTAGCAGATGTTTCGAGGAGTGTCTCATGGGGAGGACTCTTTGAAGTTAGGATGGATTTTCTCTCTATATCCTGTACCCTCAGAAAAATAAACTGAGTCAGTTTTTCTGCTCCGTCTGGCCCACTTCTTCACGTCTTATTTCATGCCTTTCCGTTCAGTGCACTATCTGGTTGCGGGCAACAGGTAGAAGTCTGAATTATTATGCTATTAGAAGATAAAATATAACGTTGTACATATATTTCATGCATTTCTATACTTTTTCTGTGTCATCTGCTGGCTTTCACATGTTGTCTGTGGCTTTCACAAAACTCCCCAAAAATTCCCATTTAATTTCTTATGCCAACCAGCAACGTAGCAAAACCACAATGGGGAAAGTCCTGATGTGGAAGGGGATACCTGTACTCATTCTGCAAATATTCCTTGTGCTGTCCTTGTCTTTGTACCTTTGCCTACCCCACCCTCTCTGCCCCCCAGCACCTAGCTGGTTTCTATTTTTAAATTCACCCATTCAAGTTGTACCTGTCCTTCACTTGGCAATGAATTGTACATCTCACGTACTTTGTTATTCTCCACTTGTAACCACAATACATTCCTGAAAGCTGTATCCTGGGAAGCAGAGTATATTTTTCCATAAGACCAATGTTAAAATTGAAGTTTGGTTTCCTTGCCAGAAAGTCAGTCAGTATTATAGATTTACAAATATGATGAATAATGAGATAAACAACACAGTGCAAGCCTTAAAAATGGGTATAAATATAATATATACACTAATTATTTATGGGTCTCCAAAGAGCTAATATATTACGTACAGAGCTTAACATAAAAATCATCCCCATTCTCGCACCCATTCTTGCCCTTTACAATCTTTGATCTCAGTGGAGTTCACATTTTCCAGCAATATTTCTGGGTGATAGATATACTCCCAACCTATGGTCTGCCAGTCCCCACTTCCATTAACATTGCCTCTTTTACTTGTGCTGTTACTGAGTCTGTGAGCTGCCCTTCTCTCTTTAGGAGACACATAAAAATGAAAAGCTGCGTTTCTCATTGTTGGAAGAGCACACACCATTTACTTACATTTACCTTATGCTGTTAGTCCAGCTTTTTTAGGACTGTTAATAATAGCCAGGTAATGCTTCCCCTTGCTCTCTTTTTCTCTACGTTAACCTCCTTCAAAACCCACTAGGCTAATCCCACTGGGTCAGTGGGAACCCACTCTGTCCTATTGAGAAAATTCTCCATGTGCACATAGTCAGAAGCTCCCTAGCCATAGATAGGCAAGACTGCTGTATGTCTTTTCCCCACTTAAACCAAAAGATCAGACACAAGATCATCCTGACCCAGTTCTAACTAATGCTAACTAAGGTGAAATGCGCTAGGCTGGGCCAGGCTCAGGATTTGAATAAAGATGCTCATACATCACCCAACATTTAACCAGAAAAAAAGTTTATTTTTGACAGTACTGGGTCAAGTAGATGCAGGCCCCTCCCCTCCATAAAGAAACATATAATTGTCAGAACCATGTGTTGACTTTCATGGCAGGGCGACGTCCATTAAATCTGAGGCTCACTGACTCCCTGCACACTGTCCTTTTTATATCCTACACAACTGAGAAGCCATGTCAGAGGCTTAAATCCTAGTTCCCTGGACCAAGAAAGTCTCAGAAATAGCCTTTTAGTAAAAAATTAGCCCAGCCTACATGACAGGGACCCTAGTAGATATTGCTCCTATCACAGGGCCATTAGCTCAGCTTTGAGAAGAGTTTGAAAGATGAGAATTACTAAGGCAAGAACAGTATCTTGACTGTCCAGAATGTTGTTAGAGTTATCCATGCACCAAATGAACAGAATTCAAAGCAGCAATATGAAGCAACTGAGTGTGCTATTATTTACTCTCCTATCATTACTTTCTTATGCCTTATCTTACCTCCTCAACTAAATTCGTCAATCCTGGAGGGTAGGGACTTTCTCTGATTTGTATCCCCACAATGCTTTACACATCAGAATTTATGTTCATATCATCTCTTCTGTTAGAATGTAAGCTCCTTGAGGGCAAGTTCCATTTCACTTTTGTCTTTGTACCTTCAGTGCCTTCATATGCTTATTGTTCTGTCATTTCAGCCATTTGGGGTTTTCTTGGCAAAGATACTGAAGTGGTTTGCCAGTTCTTTCTCCAGCTCATTTGACAGATGAAGAAACTGAGGCAAACAGGGTTAAATGACTGGCCCACAGTCACAAAATAAGTGTATGAGGCAGGATTTGAAGTCAGGTCTTTCTGACTCCAGGCCCAGTATTTTATCCGCTGTGCCACCTAGCTGCCTTGTATATAGTAGTTGTTTAATAAATGCTCAATTGATTGATAGTTGTTCGGTAAGTACATGTTTTTGGTTGATTTATCTGAGCCCCAAATTTTCCTTTGGTTTGATTCCCTACTTAAATACTACATGAATCAAAGCATCAAATGTGAGAGCTATGAAACTGTAGAGACAGAATTTAAGTGACTTGTCCAGGGCTACAAATCACTCATTTTTATCTTCTTTTAATAGTAATAAATTAAGGGACTGAATTTCAAATAGATTTAGTTATTATAAAAGAATTGTACAATCCTGATCCCACCTTAGCAAAGAGAAAAAGATCTGACATCATTTTCTAGAACAGCAACATGAAAATTGTCATTGGTCAAACCAGTGTTCCGTCCAGCCCAGAGTTCTGTTTCTGACTATGTCACCAAAAGAATGGCATATAGCTTTCCCTCTTGAGTGCAACCTCAAAGATTAAGGAGATAGATTAGATAGATAGATAGATAGATAGATAGATAGATAGATAGATAGATAGATAGATGATAGACAGACAGACAGATAGAAATATAAAACAAAGCGTTCAGATTTCCCTTGACAATCCATAATGAGTGTGCCCTAGATCACTAAAAATCGCAGAATGGGAAAGCCTGAAGGGACCTTGCAGAACATCCTTTTCAGACCTATCATTTTACCTATACAGAGAGATAAGGAGCAGGCCTATGATTTCACTGGTGCAGAGAACTCGTAGGTGAGGAAACTCTACCACAATGGATAGGCCCTTCTCTGCCACTTGAGTTTGAAAGCGTTGCCTCACGTATGGACTAATCAGGTGACTTGCCAGGGTCACATCACCAGGCTTTAGAACCCTGGCCTTCCTGGCTCTGGGACTAACTCTATACACTATATCTTTTACCCCTCATCCCTGAAATTACATAAGCCCTTTTTTGACACGTACTTCCATAATAGTAATTTTATTATTTATATATCAGACATCAAGGCAGTATATTGGATAGTGTACCAGATTTAGAAAGATAATTGAATTTGGATGCCTCAGACATAAACTTGTGACCCCGGGGCAAGTCATATCACCCCAGTCAGCCTCAGTGTCCTTATCTATAAAATGGGGATAATAAAAACACCTTTTGTTGTTCATTCCTGTCCAACTCTTCGTGACCCCATTTGGGATTTTCTTGGCAAAAATACTGGCGTGGTTCACCATTTCCTTCTCTAGCTCATCTTACATATGAGGAAACTGAGGCAAACAGGGTTAAGTGACTTTCCCAGGGTCACACAGCTAATAAGTGTCTGAGACCAGATTGGAAGTAAGGAAGATGAGTCTTCCTGACTCCAGGCCTCACATTCTATCTACTGTGCTATCTAGCTGCCCTTAAAAGGACCTACCTCATAGGATTGTTGTCAGAATCAAATGAGATAATATACATAAAGTGCTTTGAACACCTTAAAATGCTACATAAATGGCTAGCTCTCGTTGTTATTATTATTATTGCGATAAGCTTCAAGAAAGGCTTATATCCATTAATTTATATGAGCCTTTTTTGCAGCTGACTTCCATAATAAAAAATTTATTGATACTGTACTCTAATGACAACTATAGGTACTGAATAGGAAATTAAAATAGCCAGATTAAATAATTCACAATAGCCCATTAAATAGTTTATAATGCATATTATGCCAAATGGCAATATGAGGGATCTAAAAATGAACTCACTTTATTCAGAGCTAATTCCTAGTTCCTTAGAAGTTCTATTTACATATGAGAAGTGTAGTGTCATTAGTTACAAGGAGAGAAAAACTTCCTTTCCTGATTGGGGATCCCTAGTTTCTGTCTACAATTCAGGCTCGTCCAACATTGTTCCTCTTTTCATCCTCCATTATGAGCTCTTCTGTGATGTCAGTTGTAAAGTTGGGTAAAGCCAGGTAGTCAGTCCTCAAGAAAAAGGGGCTGATTGAAATCCGGATATTACCCTAAAGGATCCCAACATGCTTAAGCCAATGGAGCCTCAGAAACACAGAACAGGTAAGTCTGGTCATCAATTCCACACCTCTGGACATATTGGGTCTCCTTTTTGAGTGCTTGGTTTTTTGCATGTGTTTTGCCACCCAGAAGTTTTAGTGATGGTCTTTTGTGCTTCCCTAATACTTTCTTTTCAACTTTCTGATTTTCCTCATTTGCTTCACTCTTAAAATGTTGGCTTCTATATTTACCTAGATAGTCCAGCTCCAAGTTACTCTGCTTCCATGGAAACCACCTCTCAGGATGGTCCACGCTGTGACAGCTCTGGAGATACAGGTGGGTACAGCACAGGTCCACTTTAGAAGCCCCTAAGATTACTTCCATAAAGGTAGAGGCTAGCACTTTCAGCCTCTCATTAAATAAATAGTCTGAACTGTGGAATTTTATTATTTGTCTTGATTAAAAAATACACAATTATTATTGGAACAAATATATCGTGGCTTTGATCTCAAACCACTTTTTACAATGATCATATTAATTTCTCTTTGCTAATATTGAAACTACTTTCTTCTTATCTCTACTCCTTTCCTTAATTCAAAGTTCTTTAATATTTTTCTCTCAGATTTCAGGGTTTGAAGAGACTGTTCTAAGAAGTATTCTTCATATCTCGACCTCCCCTGTCTTATGCTTCATTATTAGCTCAATAGTTAGGCTATTTATACCTCATATTTGATATAGGCAGCGAAATAGCATAGTAGATAGAGCACTGAACCTGAAGTCAGAAAGACCTAAGTTCAAATCCTGCCTCAAACATTTCTAGCTATATGACCCTGGACAAACCACTTAACCTCTGTTTGACTCATTTTCCCTATGTGTAAAATGGGAACAATAATAATACCACCTATCCTTGTTATGAGGATCAAAATGAGATATTGTATGTAAAGTGCTTTGCAAATCTTTTAAGTGTGATATAAATGCTAGTTATTATCATTTCCTTTTGTGGAGGAGTCAGAAAATATTTCTTGGGGAAAACATTTAAATGACTAGCATTCATTTCTTGTTTTATAAAATGGTATCTTGTTTGGTCCACTGAAATCTCTAGCATTTGACAAGAATATGGTCCTTAAACATAATAATTGCTCACATTTATATAGTGATTTTCAGTTATAAAGTGCTTTATGTACATTGTATCATTTCAACCCCACAATAATTGTGTGAGGTAGAATACAAGTATTATGATCTCCACTTTAGACATGAAGAAGCTGAGTTCCAGATAAGATCAGTCATCAGGTTACACGGTAACAAGTGCTGGAATCTTTCACTTCTTTCTAAGCCCAAGGCCCAATTGTCATGAATCGTTTTCTGACTCCCCCCCATACTACTGCCTCCCCAAACAAAGAATTTTCTGTTTACTTTGTTTATATTTGATATTGCTTGTATGTGTAGATATCGTTTCCCATAATAGAACATAAGCTTCTGGAGGACAGGGACTGCTTCATTGCTATCTGCATGTGCCTGGCATAGAGTAAGCACTTGACAAACGCTTGTTGACCAATTGATTGATTGATCAGTCCAAGGTTGTATCTGACCACAAATCTGATATTCCTGCCATCCTTCCACACCGCCTCTGCACCTCAAGTGCTAAGTTGGTTGGTGTTTTTCTTCCAGTTGCACAGCAATGCTGCCTTTAAAGAAAGTGTCATGAGGATTTGGTTGGTGGTGAGTGCCTCACGAGGCATCTCTGCCCATGGAGGAGGAGGTGAGAGAACCTGCTTCTGGGATATCTGATGAGAAAGAGTTATGAGGAAGTGCCCAGGAGAGGCTGGGGAACACCCAGAGACCCCTTCTGGTCTATGAGCAAATGAGAAGCTCTTTGGCTGCAGAGGTATTCAAAAATGAGATCGGTTTATTGTCATTGTCTTTGACTTTGAAAGGATGTGCTCCAAAACAGAAAGCCAGAGGGCAGAATCAGCTCCAGATTATGCTGTTGTATATCACAGGTCTGGGAATATCAGCTTTGGATTTCTTAGTTTTTGAAGGCTGATCATCTAAAGAATATTCATTCTGTGTTTTGGTTGAAATATAGGTCAAGATATAGAAGTTGCAAAAAATAATGAGGACTCCTCACAAAGTCCTGATGACAGGCTGTCAGAAACTGCAGAAGATGACGAAGAGAAGCAATATATTGATGAATATGTTGGGGAAAATGTTGCACCATTGGAGTTAATGACAGAGGTAAATTTGCTTATACATTATTATATATGTGAAAGTCATGTTATTACATCTTTGCAAATAATAATTTTTTAAACTTACCTATACAGACATTTACCTGGCCACCATCTTTGGGACCCACTTCCAGATTCTTCTTGGAGTTTCTCTGTTGTGCTGATGGCAGCACTAATTGAGGAAGGGGCTCAGGGCAAAGCGGAGTTAAGCTTCAGCAGCTCTGCTTCCTCTCACTAAGATTGCCTTGAGATGTGTCCTGAGGGCCATCAACAGGCCCTTTACTCTCTCTGTTTGCTCCCTTGGCCCGCAGTACCTTTTCTCCTCCCCTTGGATTTCAAATTCCTATCTATATTTTAAAGCCCAATTCTGATTTTCTTTTGCAACACTCTAATGTGCTTAGTTGTGTAATATTTTGTATTACAGTTGTCTTATATTACAGTTTATGTCTTATCTTCCTACTAAGACTATCTCCCTGAGTTAGACATGATCTTATCTAAATTTTATAAGGCATAGCAGTAACTGTACAGAGATGCTTAATAATGAAGAAAAAAAAGAAGGGGGTAGGAGATAGAAAGCAGGATGAGGGAGGAGGAGATATGAAGTATGTTTATACTTTTCTCTTCCTGTTTTTTTTTAACTTCTTTCCCACTAACACCAGGTAGAATTAAATACCTTATTTGTGAAACTTGAATCAGGCATCCCAATGTGCTAAATACTTCTGTAGAACATTTATTGACATGGAAGCCCTCCAGTTTGTATCTTAAGATGAAACAGTGTATTAGAACACATAACTTATATGAACATGTAATGACCACTTTGTTGGGGAGAGAGAGGAAGTCCCCCCTTTTTTTGGGTTCAGCAGCCAGATCCAGAATCCCAAATCTAGAGTTAAGAGGGTGCCTTGAAGCTAATTTGATCCCAAACTCATTACACTGTTAAGAAGATGTAAGCAAAGAAGAGTTAAGTAATCCAGGTAATAAGTGGCAAAGCCGCATGGGATTTGACGCCAGGTCTCAATTCCAGTTCTAGTACTTTTCCCCCCACAACTACCCTACCTGGAAAGGAGTAAGATATACTTACTCCCTATATTTGTCCAATTGTTTTTATTCATAATATTTAACATGGATATTTGGAAAGTCTAGAGTTATGACCCAACCCATTTACTAAATCATCTGTTTAGTTAAAAATTAAATATAAACACTTTGTTTTTACTGTCCTCATTTAGGATATCTAAGCTGCAAGAAAGGTTAAGATAATGAAAATTTGACTTAGCTACTAACTCACTTGTGTCTTTAGGAAAATTGTAATTTATAATACATAGTTTTTATGTTTGAAAAATAAAGATAATTTTTCTTGCAACTAGATTTTTTTTGAAGTGTTCTGAGATTCCTGGGTGAAGGATTAAATAGATACAAAATATTACCTTCCTTCCTCTTGTTATCACAGAGACTTGAAAGGTATGAATAAATCATCCAGTTTTGGGGACTTTCTTAAAAAAACCCTCTTTTCTTACTCCTTTAACCAGGGGTGGGGAACCTGCAGCTTCCAGGTCACATGTGGCCCTCTAGGTCCTTAAGTCAAAGACAGGAAAGGGCCACACTTGAGAACCTAGAGGGCCACATGTGGCCTTGAGGCTGCAGGTTCCCCACCCCTGCCTTAAACAAAAGCTTAAGTTCAATAACAGAGGTGTAGTAATACTAATATAAAATATCACTTCATTCTTTTTTTCTTTTTGGTGAGGCAATTAGAGTTAAGTGACTTGCTTAAGGTCACACAGCTAGTTAAGTATCAAGTGTCTGAGGCCAGCTTTGAACTCATGTCCTCCTGATTCGAAAGCCAGAGCTCTATCCACTGTGCCACCTCACTGCCCCCTCACTTCATTCTTAACATGTTGTCTAGAGAATGGATTTTGGTTATACAAAAGCATATTACCAAAATGTAGCAAACTGAATTCCTGTACTGTTGACTCCATTTACATCTTCAACTTTGCGTCTTCACAATTGAAAACCAATGGGTGATGTCAATTTGTATGCTAATAAAAATGCATGGTTGCAAAAAATTTTACTTAAAATGGTTAAGTCCTTTTATACCTATGTCACTGTGCCATACATTTTGGAGTATAAATAAATGCACACCAATGAGAAGTTTCCTGATGCCATCTTTCATGGTTCTTGGTCCTGCTTTCTTCATGAACTGAAGCTCTTCATTGCACAAATCTTCTTAGTTTCCAGAACTAAGTGGAAAATTATTAAATGTTAATATTTATGCCATTTAGGTTTTGATCATCAACTATAGAAAAAAATCTAAAACTTTTTTTTATGAAGGTAGATTACTACCACATCCCCACTATGAAATTTCATGGGGAAAGAAGAATTCCTCTGGCATTCTTCCATTAAAAGTAATAATGCATAAGAAAAATGAATAGAAAAAATTATTTTAATCCACATTATTTGAAATCATAATTATATACATTTTGGTCTTTGCTTCCAGCTCAATAGAAATATACAGTGTGAATTCAAATAGTTCGACCACCTCAGGAGATTTATTAGTCTTCTAATCAGGACCCATCTGCAGTGCCTATGCTCATGATTTTATCATTAAGTGGTTAGAAGGAGGCTGTTGAAATGTAGCTTAGCTGAAAAAAAGATTCCTTTAAGCAATCTTCATTTAGATAAAGGAACTAAATTACTCATCATACAAGGCCCTATAACTATGATAGGAGTGTTGCCCATTTTCAAAGAAGAGGTATATTCATCTATCATGACCTATCTTTTTATAGTAAAAACTCACTCATATAAAACTTTGTTTTTTTATTTTAAATAGTTTACGTTTTCCAATTACATGTAAAAGCAATTTTTAACATTTGTTTTCTTTAAATCTTGATTTCCACATTCTCTCCCTCTCTACCTTTCCTTTTCCCCTCATTGAGAAGGCATGCGATTTGATATAGGTTATGCGTGTGCAGTCATGCAAAACATATTTCCATATTGGTCATGTTGTGAAAGAAAACTCAGATCAAAAGAACCCCCAAAACACAGAACTTTATAAATGCTTTTCTCACAACTTCAATTTGAGGTGGGTAAATAAAAAAAAGTATTATTGTGCTTGTTGTATAGAGGGGGAAACCAAGATTCTGAGGGGTTAAATGACTTGCTCGTGGACACAAAGCTAGTAAGTACCAAGTCAAGTCAACAAGCATTTCTTAAGCATCTTCTATATACCAGAGAGTGGGTTAAGCACTGAGTATGTGAAGAAAGGCAGAAACAGCTCCTGCTCCGAAGGATCTCACAGTCTAATCTAATAGATGATACTGAGGCAAAAATACAAACTCAGGACTCCTGATTCCAAGTCTAACATTCTTTCCACAATAAATATCTGGCTATCTCTCACATATATTTATATTTATAAATCCTTGTGATTTTAATAGTATAAATAATTTACAATATTTTTGATTCGTCATTCTGTTTTTATGTTAAATATATATTGTTTATTTACATTCAACAATCACAGCAAAAATTTTTTAACCTTCATTTTTTAAAATTTTGAGTTCTAAATTCTCTCCCTCCTATCCACCCCTTTTCCACCCCTTGAGAAGGTAAGCAATATGGTGTCAATTATACATGTGAAATCATGCAAAATATATTTCCATATTAGCCATGTTGCAAAAGAAACCACTCCCCCAAAATAAAACCAAGAAAAATAAAGTGAAAGAAGTATGTTTCAGTCTGTGTTCAGAGTTCATCAGTTCTCTCTCTCTCTCTCTCTCTGGAGGTGGATAGCATTTTTCATCATAGGTCTTTTGGAATCATCTTGCATCATTGTCTTAATCAGAGTAGCTCAGTCTTTTACAGTTGATTGTTACAATATTGCTATTATTGTGTACAGTTTCTTCTGGTTCTTCTCACTTTACTACGTATCAGTTCATTAAAGTCTTCCCAGGTTTTTCTGAAACCATCCCCTTTATCATTTCTTATAGCACAATAGTAATCCATCACAATCATATATGCGACAACTTCTGTTCAGCCATTCTCTAATTATAGACAATTCTTTGCCACCACAAAAAAAAAGGTGCTATAGATATTTTTGTGCAAATAGGTCAATTTTCCCTTTCCTTTATTCTCTTTGAGATATAGACCTAGTATTTCTGGGTCAAAGTGTGTGCACAGTTTTATAGCCCTTTGGACATAGTTCCAAATTCTTCTCCAGAATGGCTGGACCAGTTCACAACTCCACCATTGCATTAGTGTCTCAATTTTTCCACATCCTTTCCAGCATTTGTCTTTTTTCTTTTTCTATTATGTTACCATTCTGACAGGTATGAGGTGATACTTGAGAATTGTTTTAATTTGCATTTCTCTAATAAATAGTGCATTTTTTATGCAACTGTTGATAGTTTTGATTTCTTCTTCTGAAAACTTCCTGTTCATATCCTTTGATTTATCAATTGGGGAATGGTCTGCTTTTTTTTATAAAATTGACTTAAGACGTTATATATTTGAGAAATGAGGCCTTTATAAGAGAAACTTTCTACATATTCCCTCCCCCCCCTTTCCTAATTTCCTTCTAATCTTAGCTTATTCTGTTTTAAAGATAATTTATTTTATGTTCTCAGTTAAGTCTGATTGTAGTCATGCTTTAGCCCATTGTCCATTGACAGTTAAAATACTGTCTTTTAGTTAAAAAAAATATTATGTAAGCATCTGCCCTGGCATTCTGCCTACTTCATTTTGTGGTGAACAATGCAGCCAGAAATAGGATGTTTTCATGATTGACAGCTATAAGTAATGTTTATTCTTCTCCACCACTCCTTCAGTAGATCCATGTTTTCATTGATTCTCCTATTTATTGCTTCCATTTGAATTGTCTTAAAGGGAAGATTCTGAAGATCACCTGGCAGGATAAGATACCAGACAGAGAGGTCCTTTCTCAAATCAAACTGCCAGACATTCAAACTCTACTGCAGAGAGCACAACTTCAATGGGCTGGCCATGTTGTTCAAACACCAAACA